AACCCTAAGCCCTAAACCCTGAACCCTATATAAGGTCAGCGATCTTCTGCTTCACAATGAAGAGCTCCAACAGCTTTGTTCGGCCTGTTCAGGCACGACCAACTCCTCTTCTTTCTTCGGCGCTGAAGAGGAAGCCCATTTGAAGCAAGGCTAGACACAAGGACCAAAATTTCGCAAAACATGGACCAGTTTTACCGTTCCCAGCAGCCCTCTTCCCGGCCTGCGGCGGCAGGATGAACGACAAGCCCTGGGAAGGGTCACAGACGATCACGTTTTACCAGTCTTCGGCGCCGACGTGAACGGCATCTGCGACGATGTTGAGCACCGCCGTCTCGGCGAACGTCCGCTTCCCAGAGGCCACGTACGACAAACGCTCAGCCTCGAGAAATTTTGCCTGGCCTGTCTGGCTCTCCTGGTTGGCCCGAAGCCCTACCTGGACCCCAAAGAACCTACCTTTTTCGGGCTCCTTATAATGATTTTTCCTTGTATACGTCCTTATTTTGGTAGATTCTATAGTCTTGGGGTTCTAGGTAAGCCTTACATTACATTGGATATTTTAAGGATTCTTCTTTGACTTTGGGATGTCGGAGCTGTCGGAACACGGATCAGAAGTCTCAGCTAGCCTTCAGTGTTCAGGGGTCTAGGACTTCGGGTTCGAGGAATTGCAGGTTTAGGATTTAGGGCTTAGGGTTTAGGCCGTAGCACTTCGGGTTTAGGGCTTAGGGTTTAGGTCCCTAAACCCAAGAACCCTGAAACCCTAAACCCAGGATGTAGGTTTGCGGTGCAGATCGAAGTGTGCTCGCAAAGCCAAATGCCAGAAACCCAGACCTTCGAACTATCATATCTAAGCTCGGAGTGCCATGCTCTAATTCCTTGCAACCCTAAACCCTAAGACCCTTAGACCTTAAGACCCTAAACCCTAAACCCAAAGTCCCTAAGACCCTAAAGCCTAAGACCCTACCCCCAAAACCTAAGGCAGACTTCAGACTGCAGAGGCCTCAATAATTCGACCCTAAACCCTAAACCCTGCACCTAAGCCCTAAAACCCCTAAACCACTAAATCCGAAAACTCCTAAACCCCTAAACCCTAAACCCTAAAACCCTAAACCCTGAACCCTAAACCCTAAAACCCTAAAACCCTAAGCCCTACACCACAGGGCTACATCAGGAAACCCTGAAGGGACCGAAGGTCTGCAGCCCCAAAACAAAAGCGGAAGTCCCAAACTCAAGGAACCACCGTCAGCCCTTCTTTGGGCTTAGGGCTTTCGGGTTTAGGGCTTTAGGGTTTATGGTATAAGGGTTTAGGGTTTTCGGGTTTAGGGTTTTTGGGTTTTAGGGTTTAGGGTTTGGGCTTCAGGCTGAACCAAACAGTCTCAACACTAAACCCCCCCAAGTCCCACACCAAAAGCCCGAAACCGCGAAACCTAAACCCTATGATACCCTTTGCAGTACCCTTGCAGGCCCCTTTCTAGGAACCCTAAAAAGACCCCTAAACCCTGAACCAAAAGCTCTAAACCCCTAAACTCACTTCTAAACCCTGAACCGTAAACGTCCTAAACCCTAAACCCTGAACCCTAAACCCTAAAACGGTCTAGGGTTTAGGGCTTAAACCCTGAACCCTAAACCCTAAACCCTAAAACGGTCTAGGGTTTAGGGCTTATAAGCCCTGAACCCTAAACCCTAAAACGGTTTAGGGCTTAGGGCTTAAACCCTGAACCCTGAAGCACAAAACCGCCAAAGCCTGAGCTCCCTGCCTCCACTTTCAAGCGAAGGCTGCGGCCTGGGCTTTGCAAAGATCACGACAGAAGACCCTGCAATGATAGGGTTTGGGGTTGAGGGTTCAGGGATCCCTTTTAGGGTAGCGTTTAGGGTCTAGGGTTGAGGGCTTAGGGTTTAGGACTTAGGGTTTAGGGTTCAGGGCTTAGGGTTTACAGGGTTCAGGGTTTAGCGTGTCTGCTTTTTGAAGGGCTCTATGAAGGTTACTTCAAAGGAGTTTATAACGTAGGGCTTCGGGGTTTAGGGTTTAGGTCAATGGGTTTAGGCTTTTTTGAGGTTTCTTGTTCGAGGGCTTAGGGTTTAGGTTTTAAGGTGTGCTTGGAGGTTCATGGGTAGTTATAAGTAATTAGGGTAACTATACTTATAAGCCATATTAGGGGACTAATAACACTACTTATAACTACCCATGAACCTCCAAGTGGGGTTTAGGGTTGAGGGCCCTTGGTTAAAAGAGGGTCAGAGGCTTGAGGCTACCTTAGGTTTAGGGTTTAGGGTTTAGGGAGGTTAGGGCTACCTTGGGCTGCAGGGTACATGGCATGCGACAGATGCATTTACGACGATGCATCAGGTGATTCCTACTATGAAACCCGCCACCTCCAGTTGAGGCCGGGGTCATACATGAAGACCGGGTTTTACTTGTGCCACTATACTCTGACTATACTGACACTCTAATTCTCCACCCCACCCTGTTCAACGAACCCTCTTCCAACCACTGAAGCACCTATAGTTCGCCTAAACCCCTAAAACTCAAATCCCTAGACCCTACAGATCCCTTATAGAACCCCTATCAGTTCCTTCAAGCAACCCTAACTCTCAGTCTTATAAGGCTCTGAAAAAGCTTTTGGACTATCCCTACCCAGACCACCGGAAGGATCTAAAAAACAGATCCCCTAATCGGGATCTTTTAAACTACCCCTTAGTAGTATAGGGTCCCAAATTAGGGATCTACCTCCTTAGATCCTTCCGGCGGTCTGAGTATGCCCTCTTCTGAGCATTACAAACCCTAAGGGTCCATATATACTACTATTATGGAATTAGGTCCCCCAAAAACCAAATATGAATGTCTTTTTGGGACCTAATTCCATAAATGGTAGTATGTATGGACCCTGAACCCTAAACCCTAATCCCTAAACCCTAAAACCCTAAAACCCTAAACTCTAAACCTTAATAGAGCCTGAACCCTAATCAGGTGGAGGATGGACCCTCTGGGCCCTCTAAAACCCTAAACCCTAAAACCCCAAACCCTAAACCCTAAAACCCTAAACCCTAATAGACCCTCTGGGAAAGCCTGTGGGTCTCCCGACTCTGACTCTCCAGGCGGGTGAGCAGAATCCGCGGCTGATCCACCCATTGGTCCTCTAAGACCTCGCGGAAGTCACAGAGTTTAGGAACGTGTGTGTATATGCATGACTATACATGTGTATATCTATCTATCTATCTATGTATCCAACTATAACTATCTATATATACATGCATGCATACATACATACAGACCTACACAATGTATGTGTGTGTATATACATATAAATACATAAATAAATAAATAAATATATATATATACATATACATATACATATATATATAATAATAATAATAAATATACATATATATATATACATACATACATACATACCTACATACATACATACACAAATACCAAAGATATACTTATTTATTTATATGTCTTCATACTTATTCATAAACAGGTCAATGGACAGACAGAGTTCTTCCTGACAGCACCTTTTTGAAGAGAAACCGGGACCACAAACATAAGAGGATGGCGTGCACTAACGAATCTTGCTTTCCAAGTTGAGTCTTTTGCGACCGCGACCGCCTCGCAGGTACAGCGGAGTCTACACTCTACACGCGACTCAGGTGGCTCAAAGCTCAAAGCTCTGTATGCCTGATAGCGGCACAAGCACAATGAAGACTCTGAATTCCCCGGCGGTCTGGTTGCGCTTGGACATCGATGCAAAGGGCTATGTGCTTGTTGTTGTTTCAAACATGTGGAGTTCGCTAGTTCATGTCGTGGACTGGGAGAACAAGCCAGCCAAGAGAAAGAGAGAAACTCCCACAGCTGCCCAATGCTGGCAAGATCGCAGCTTGTCAGCTGCGCCAAGTGTGTGATCGCTCGCGGATGTACGATTGAGAGATCTTCTGCGCATCCACAGAAACTCTTGCTCTTCGTACCAAACCGGCGCTCGTTTGATGGGACATGGCACAACCCAACCGTGGAGACATCTCTATTTTGAAAAGAGCCAGGGCATTTTGGACATGACCACGCGGCACTTCTCCGACCTACGCAGGATTAGATTAGTTGAAGTGGCCTCTTCGCCTCAACTGAGTTCACATGCAGAACAGCAGACTGTGCAACCCTGTGCTCAGCCCAAGGCTCAGACATCCCACTCTCCCCTACACTTGCGCTCTTTACGGCCTGGATTGCCCAGGACCGAGGGTGGCATTCGTCGTGTCCACCTTGTGCAAGATTTTGGAAGCTTGTTTTGGCAGCACAGCCGGCACGTGGCACCTGTGTTTGTTATCACTTCGGCGATGAATTGCTGTGCTTGTCTGCCACAGAACATGCTGAGCTGGAGACCACAAAGTCACGCGGCAGAACGCTCACGATGTGATCAGTTGTGTAGTTGACTGAGATCGTGGACCTGGGTCTACGGTGGAGTTCAGTTGTCCAGAAAATCCGGATCACAGTCAATGCTTCCACAACTGCTACAAGCGCGACTCGTACGAGTATGTCTGAGTATTTGTAGCAGAAACCCTTACGTTGACATACAACCATATGAGTATCAGTATGATCATAGGGTTTTGGCGAGTACTTCCAAAGTATCCCGCCCCCGTCCAACGAGTAAATTTCTAGGTTCGACCTCTGCTGTTACTACTTCGCAGTGGGATCTGAAGTGATGCATGCAACGATAGCCGGACGGAGGTCGTCGGGTTCCAAGCCTTGACCTGTACCGATACAGGCAAAACTGCATCTGGATGAAGAGTTTTAACACATAAACACGCGTGTAAACCTCAAAGCTCAAAGAAGGCTCAAACCTGCAACGTTTTACACGGGACATCACGGGAAAATGCGACCCTCCGCCGGTCGAATTGTGTGCATGGCCGGTAGCTCCCGACCGCGTAGAGACCCTCACTGCGTCTGTGCTTGGGACACCTTCCATCACCATGTTAGAAGACTAACTGGCGAAGAAACCTCACAAGTGTTGTCAAGAGCAAGCATGGCAAACTGTGTACAAGAAACAATAATGGTAAGGAAGATGTACGATCCCAGATCGAGGAAAGTTGTTCACGGTGTAGCTCAATACAAGCGATCCTCCATGCTTTCTTCGTCCTGTTTCCAAGAGCATGGAAACTCCGGCCGCTAGACAACTGCCCCTGAAGCCCTTCATCCAATCCCTAAAAACCGAGGCCACCGGAAATGTTTCGCCTGATACCTCAGCTTCCGGCACGGTGGTGTTGATAACTACAGCCAGCTCTGTTCGCCTCCAGAAGCAGCTGAAGGACTGAGGGCCAGCTGGTTCCGGGTATTGCACAAGGATTCGGGTGAGCCATGTCAATGTGACAACCTGCTTGAGTCGACGGAGGAACATGATTTCGGTAGAGCTCAGTGCCAGATTGTCATGAGCACCAAATCTGAGGTATACACGTGGATCTATGACCCGCCCAGCTTTGGATGCTATTTCTTGATTCTTGACTCCCAAAGCTCTAAGCCTCTATATCGAGCGACACTCCTGAAATTTTCACATTCCACAATCCCAAAACCCCACTGGCGCTGGTACCGGCTCTTGATCAACTCGTCCTCGGCAGCGCCTTTCTTTTTCACTGCAAAATGTGCCTGGCGAGATCAAAGACCACAGAACTCCAAAAATTCCCACCGGTGAAACCCAAGGGCCCTGTTCGGACCCGACCCGAAAAGGACCCGCTTCTCGGACTCCAAGACAGCGCCGGGCCTCTACCACATCCCCAGGCCGCAGCCCCGAAAGCACAGTTAGCTCTCTTGGGGAGAAATACCTCAGAGAACGGTCTTTGCTGGAAAACAAGTGGCGAAAAGCTGGGATCAACCTGTCAGCCTTCTCCCCCCACACACACACTCTCTCTGCTGGAAACTGGAACGCTGAAACGCAGGTGAGACAGCCTAGTTATGATCGGGCATCATAGGGAATCCAATCACGTGCGAAGTGTCAACCACTGAATTCCAAAGTTTCTAAGTTTGCTTTCGACCCAAGCCTAGCTGGTCCTTGTTGCAAAGCTCAGATGGCTGCACCACGACAGGAGTGCACACGTCGCCCAAGCCTCAGGTGGATCTGAGATCGGAACCGGAACTCGATGTTGTGGTACCTTGGGGTTGCGAGTTTCCCACATCAATTAAGGGCCGCTTTGAGGGGGTCAGGATTTGCGACATGGCAGAATGCGGAGGACTGCCAAACACCAGGCTCACCAGCCCCACTCAGCCATCGAATTCCACAGCGGGCCGGATCTGAGCACGGGGCTCTGAGTTTTCGTCTTTCTTCTTCGCAGGCTTACGACGGTTCCACCGCTCTGTCTTCCTTTGCGGCTCAGGGTTTGCGGCCCAACAATCCGAAAAGAAGCCTAAAGGCTCTGGAAGGTCCTGTAGCCGAAGTTGAATTGATGCATTCCGGTGCGATCAGGTATGTTTGGCAGTTCAGCAAGCGGTAACTACAGAGAGAAATTCGAATTTAAAACGGATCAGGATTATTTGCTTACCAGCAGTGATCCATGGATCATCTTTTATGCTCAAAGAACGTGTACTCTTGAATGCCTTTCTTCGGAACCGGTCCTCTTTTGAAGACTCTGGGAGTACCCAGAGTCTTAAAGTGGGATAGGCTGATGCGAACGAGGATCACCTCCTCTTTGGAGCCATCCCGGAGCAGGACGGTGTACCTCAGCCCCAATGCAAAGACAGCCGGACAATACCCTCGGCAAGTATTCCGCGGCCGCAAGACCCTGTTCCTCGGATCAGACCGAATCGCGACAGACTTCGAAAGCTTCACAATCGACAGCTGCTTCAAACTGCACGCTACAATTTCAACACCGCCATCAGCACAAAAAGCATCACCAATAGCTTCTTCACTACCGTCTCCAGTAGTGACAAAATCATCAACACGTGACCACCATCGCCGGAGGTAAGTGTGTCGCTTCCGACCGCCCAACAGTGTCACTCCGACCCCCCAACCCGGACAGCCCGGACAACAACTCGGACCGCCAGGACGATGCCCAGGAGCAGTCCGGACAACCCGTGCAACTCCAGTCTTGTCCGGGCTGTTGTCCGGGTTGTGGTGAGTCACCTTTAAAGGGGAGCGTAACAATCGCCATCGCCGCAATGGTGCCACCAGGCGGCTCTTCGAGCACGTGGTATGCTCGGCTGACAATGCCTGTCGCTTGTGCCCGCAGGCATCACAGGCTTTGCTAAACTCCCATAACGCGTGTTTGCAAAATTTGTCGAAACATGCGTTACTTCCACGGCAGACACCACAAATCACCACAACAGAGGCCATGCAAAGCAAAGCAGTCGGCACCTTGCCCCATGCAGCAGGAGCCGTTTTCGAAGGTGTAAGAAACCAGAACTCCTCGCGCGAAGGTTCTTTGGTTCGGGGAGGTCGCAGTGGCAGGTGTAGCAGCTGCGTTCGGTGTCTGTGGAACCTCTGTGCAGCCAGCCTGAGCTCAGCTAGTTCGTACCCGACAATGCACAGACCACAAGGTCACACAATCCTTGCAAAGACCCGGAGCTTGTCGTGGGTCTCCACAGATTACAAGACCTTCCAACTCCAACAGGAACCTCCGCACAGGATCTTGGTTGTTGAATGTGCTTGATGTGTAGGTAGTAGGTTGACAAAAAGGCCTCCATCATCCCCTCAGCGAGTCCTTTGTCGATCCAGGGTCGAACTCGGGGCTTTTGGCCTGAGCTGAGGTAGACATGAGCATTCGGCGGTGTGGGGTTTAAGAGTGTCTCACAACATTCCCACCTTCATCGCATCTTGCAAGCCCGGAACTCGAAATAGCCTTTCAACCTCAAACCCGCTGCTTGGACCTGCTGCATGACGCCTGAAACGACTAGGAGACCATCATGCAAGGTCAGGACACCTCGCGTTCTGACTCAGTGCCATAAGCGCAACCTCCTGCAGCACATGAAGTTGAGGGAGAGGGGCCCTCTTCGTCCATCCCGCAATCGTCGGTGTATCCGGCAAGGCCGATAAGGCTCTCCTTGTGACAGTGTGGCGATGAAGCAGGTGTGGTGGAGCGGAATGGAGGGGCGGCACTAGCAGGACCGCGCTGCGGTCGACTTCTAAAGCACAGATCCCGCAGCCAAAAACGGGTAACCACACCCTAAGAGCACATAAGCATCAGGATGCATTTACATGCTTTCAGTCCATGACACCCTAATTGCACCATGACGATGCTCAAAGACCTCCCAACAAACAGAACGAAACCCCACACCTGTTATCCGCCTTCAAGCCAACCTTGTCAATACTCCATCATCCTGAAGTGCCAAACGCCGTGAGCCCTCGTGTCTGCGACTAGGCTGCGACTTCGCAGTACGCAGTGTCGTCCTCCAAGAACTCAACAAGTCACACGCTGTGCTATGAGGATGCAGGTCTGGGCAAATCGCCCAGCTAAAACTGAAACGGCAACAAGAACAGTTCACAGAGTGATGCCAGTGGCAGCAACAATCACAGGAACAGATGTAAGGCTTGTAGCAAGACATCTACAAGCATGGCGAATCATCAATGTAGACAGGATCATACGAGGTTTCAAAGAAGATGCGCTGCACGCAACATTGCCAATGTTCGTGAAGTATACGGAGCATTCCGACCGACGTTGATCCAAAATGATCCAAAACTGTACTTTCACAACATGCACTCCTCTTCGTCGTCTGGTATAAGACGAAACAGGCTGGAACGGCTAGCCGGTGCCGGGGCGCATTCTGCACCCGACCCGATGTCGTTCTCCGTCCGCCGAAAAGGCAGCATGTGGGTGGTGAGGGTGGGGTAAGAGCTAACGTCGTTCGGGCCAGAGTGCTGGCGGCGTTCGCCGTTACCGTATGCTACTGCGCACGCACGTGTGCTACACAACATACGGAGCACTCCGACCGACGTTGATCCAAAACTGTGCTTTCACACGATGCATTCCTTGTCGTCGTGTGGTATAAGCGGTGTATCACGCCGTTCGGCGGCGAAACAGGCTGGAGCGGCTAGCCGGTGCCGGGCGCATTCTGCACCCGCCGCGCGCACCAACTCCCCACAATGCGTCGGCTCGGAAGCTCTGTGCCGTCATGAGGAGATCGTCGGTCGCTGCAGTGGTGGCAAACTCCGGGTCAAAGATGCGCAGGATCTCGGCGTGTGGACCGTGGACTCGTGTCCAGCCTTAGCGTAGGACCCGGGCGAAGTCAGGGTCCAGAAGGCCGAGATCGCGCCACGAACCGCCGGATCTTTGCCATATTCTTTGGACAAAGCCGCCTGACCCGCCGTGTTGTCGATGAAGGCCACGATCGACTGCGGCAGGTGCGCCGCGAACGTGACGAAGGCGGCGAGCTGGGCAAAGACCTCGAGAGATGTACACCTTCCTCGCCGAGCAGTGCTTCACAAACCATTTTGGGATCACGCGGTGGTCGTAATAGACCTTTCCGTCGGGGCGCAACACATATCCCCATCCATCTGTCGCGGCGTTGGGTTGAGTCCGTCGGGCACGTGGCCCGCCTTGTGCATCTTTAAGGCGTCGGCGTAGAGGACGGCCATTTCCATATGCCCCGCGTCGATGCTGTGTGTACGTCTCCACCAACGTGCTAGCCCACCTCCCGATGAGCTGGATGATGGCCATGCTGCGGAGTGCGAGAAACGTGGCCCCCCGCCACTCTCGCCCTTTCCTCCAAAGATGTAGAGGCGGTGCCCCGCCTCGTCGGTGCACATTGTCTGGAAGCCCGCGGTGCCAAGCACCATCCGGAACATCTCCGCCGAGTCGTGCTTGGTGCGCTGCTGGCCGTCGGCCGCCGGGAAGAGGAAAGCTCCTGGCTCCGGGTCGCCCTTCGCCGTAAGGCGTTTCAGATGGCGATGAGCGGCCAAGCGACACCGCCGCCGATGTGACCTCCATGTCCTTGAACTTGGCCCCCGCCATCTCCACCTCTCTGAGCATGAACCACGTGCGCACCCCCAGCAGGATCGACCCTGCCTGGTTGGTGACCTCGTCGGGCTCGTCGGGCACCACCATGGTGGTCGCGACGAGAAGATGGCGAAGCTATTCGGCGTGGCCTGCGCCTGGCCTACCCAAGTAGACGGCGGTGCTCCCATATCTCCACCAGCAGGTACACCCGGCGGTGGTGGCGGCGCTCGAATCACCTCAGCTGCCGCCGGCCCGGCTGGGAATAGGCCACTCATGTGCATCGTAGCTCGGCGGGTGTTGGCGTCGTCATGGGGGATGCATGGTGAGCACCGCCACAAACTCCATGATCGCCGTGCGGTCCTCCATGGTCATCTCCACCGCCAGCGCCGCCCAGGCCAGATATCCACCGGCGCCCGACCCGCAGCACCTCACGGACACCTTCAGCGGCGGTGGATACCGCGATCTGGCATCGGCGCTGCAGGGTGCTGCGGCGGCGCTTTGCGCTGCGGCCTCGCTTTTACTCGGCACGGCGTAGGATCCGTCGCTGCCGGACATGGCGTCGAGGAATGAAGGACTAGCAGAAAAGCTAACGTTGTTCGGGCCGGAGTGCTGGCGGCATTCGCCGCTACCGTATGTTACTGCACACACACACACGTGTGCTACACAACATAGCACATGTGTTGTTTTGTGGAAACCAACATGTGCAAGAAAAGCAGGCCATCAGAACTGGCTTGATGCCAACAACCCACCATAGTGGTAGTGGCAGTGTAGCAGTAGTTCAGTAGTAGCACTGATTGCAACATCTGTACCATCAATCGCAGCAACATGCAGCAACCTGCAGCAACAGCCAACCTAACAGCAATAGTAGGTACCGGAGCAACGGGGTAATGGGCCTGAACACAACAATGACGTCGGATTTAACACGGGTTGAACCCGATCCCGAATTCAACTAACATGCGACAACCGCAGCAATAGCAGAGCCGTGATACAATAGAATGCTGCAGACGACATGGTTCAGCTTTGGCATGACCGTTGCGATTATACTGTTATACTATTTATGCTGGGTGCTGAAACAGGTTTAGGGTCAGCACCGGCAGTATCATCCGGCCCTGCGACCCAGAACTCCATGCACATGCTGCCTCGACACAGCGTTGCGAAGCGGTGCACCAGCCGCCGCCCTTGGCCAGACAGGACCTCGGCAAGGCGTTCTCGGCAAACCTTAGCCGTTTAGGTGACCCCTTCAAAGTGTTTTTCCTGTGGCTGATTCAACTTTTGAATTTTGTAAAATATATTTGACCGTTATCTATGATTGGTTGCTGTCTTTGGCCCAGCAGATTGTTGTTGTTCTGCTTTGTCCTTTCTGCTAGTTTTAAACCTTAAAACCGTTAATTGAGTACTGTAGATGAGAACAAGAGACCGGAGAAAACTCATTGCAGCAGGACGCTGGTCGCTTGTGGGCGGGGGAGCGTAGGATGAAGGAAGAAATCTTCAAAACGAATGCTTTTCAGCGTTGGTAGTTATCTTGGAGTGATCGGGGTTTG